CTGAGGTTTTTTTTTCCTTAGGACAGTTGTAATTTAGTGTTCTATTATAAATCCATTAATTGGCTCTAACTCAATTAATTTCTCTTTCAATTAAATATAGGCAGCAGACAGTTCAAGTGCATTTTAATGTCCTGCAGCGAAGCTAACTGATGGGATTCCTTATTAGCAGAGAACAAAGCTGGAATCTAAAGCACAGCCTACTTTATAGATGATTGACATCTGCAAGTACACAGAATTTTCAGTTGCCATCATAATTTTAACACTCATGGTTTCATCTGAAAATTGCATTTTCTGCTTGGATGTTATATCTGATCTCCAATTTTCTTTAAAAAAACAAAGTTCTAGACAAGAAAAGCCTAGATTAGGAATAGTGAATAACAACAGGGAAGCACATTATCTGATCAGAAGAAAATAGACAGTAGAAACCACATACTGAGGACTTATGCAGAAGAGGATGGCACTCCTTTGAAAAGAAATCTTACGATGAACAACCTGCAACTCTAGAAAGAGGAGTGAAACCTGTTCTGAAAGCACTAGGAAGAAAGAAATCACCGGGGTAGAGAGAATACCAACAGAACTATTTTATGCCACAGAGACTGAATTTGTCAAAATCCTAGGAACAATATGCCAACTAATATGGGAAACAAAACAATGGCCCACAGAGTGGCAACATTCAATAGACATTCCAATCCCTAAGAAAGGAAATGCCAAGGAATGCAGTAAATATAGGACCATTGCATTAATTTCTCATAGAAGCAAAGTGATGCTCATGACAATGCAACAAAGGCTTTTACCTTATATGGACATAAGATACCTAAGGTTCAAGCTGGATTCCAAAAACGAAGAGGCACTCAAGATCAAGTATCTGCTGGCTACTGGAATTTGCCAAAGAATTTCAAAAGAAGACCAATCTATGCTTGATAGACTACAACAACACATTTGACTGTGTGAAATTATGAGAAATTATGAGTTATTCTGGAAAAACTGGGTGTGTCTCAGGACTTGATTATCCTAATATATTGTGGACAAGAAACTATTAGGACAGAATATGGAGAGACAGAGTGATTTCCTATAGGCAAAGGTGTCAGACGTTTTATCTCCTTATCAGTTCAATCTCTATGTAGAACTAGAAACTGCAGCCAAGAAATCAGTAAAAGACTGAGACTTGAAAAGAGAGCAATGAAAGGAGGACAGAAAAGAAAGATAATCAAGTATAAGGATGTGTCATTGGAAATCATGATCATCCACACTCTTGTATTCCTAATCAACCTGGTTGGGTGTGAAATCTGGAGAGTGGTCGAGAGGGTGGTGTCTGATCAGCTGCAAGCACATCTGGATGAAACAGATGCCCTGGATCCATTTCAGTCGAGCTTCAGGTGACACCACGGTATGGAGACGGCATTGGTCGCCCTGTACGATGACTTGTTGAGGGAGGCCGACAGAGGTAAAATATTTGTGTTGGTCCTCCTCGACATCTCGGCGGCCTTCGATACCGTCGACCACAGTATCCTCCTGGGGAAGCTCTCCGAGTTGGGTATTGGTGGCCTGGCTCTGGTCTGGCTCCGTTCCTTCATGGAGGGCCGCCCCCAGAGAGTGCAGCTTGGGGAGAGTGTCTCGGCCCCGTGGAGCCTCAAATGTGGGGTTCGACTATCTCCCCAATGCTGTTTATATGAGGCCGTTGGGTGGGGTCATCAGGGGTTGTGGAGCATCGTGTCATCAATACACTGATGACACCCAGCTCTACATCTCCTTTTCACCAACTGCAGGTGATGCCGTCCTGTCCCTCCAGCGCTGCCTGGAGACCGTACTTCAATGGATATGGGAGAACGGGTTGAGGCTGAACCTGGACAAGACGGAAGTTCTGAGGGTGGGTGCCCCTGTGGCTCGTGGCTTGGGTGACTCTCTCTCGTTCGGGGGGGTGACCCTGGTCACGAAGAGTGGGGTCTGCGGCCTGGGGGGTACACCTGGACCTGACGCTCACCATGGAAGCACAGGTGGCGTCGGTAGTCTGTACCGCCTTTTTCCATCTTTGGCAGATTGCCCGGCTGCGATCTTACTTAGACACTACTTTAGTACATGCACTCATAATCTCTAGATTAGACCACTGCAACGCGCTCTATGTGGGGCTGCCTTTGAAGCTGACGCGGAAACTTCAGGTGGTGCAGAACGCAGCGGCCAGACTCCTTACTGGAGTGAGGAAATATCAACATATCTCTCCTACTCTGGCCAGGCTGCCCATCCGTTTCTGTGCTGACTTCAAAGTGTTAATGCTTACATATAAGGCCCTAAATGGTTTTGGACCTCAATACTTGGCGGAAAGCCTTCTCCCACCTAGATCTACCCGGATCACCCGCACAAGCCAGGAGGTGAGGCTGAGGAGCCTAATGCCGAGGGAGGCCCGGAAGGAAAGGACACGAAATCGGGCCTTCTGGGTGGTGGCTCCTCACCTCTGGAATAACCTTCCTCCGGCAATTTGTGCGGCCCCTATGCTGGGCACTTTCAAGAGTCAATTAAAAACATGGTTATTTGTTCAGGCCTTCCCTCCAGTCAATACTTAACTTTTTTTCTTTTTCTTTGTCCTTTTCTTTCCTTATTTGTTTATTATTGGATGTGCTCTGATTGTCTGTAATTTTTGTGTTTTATTTTAAATATTTATTGGAAGCCGCCCAGAGTAGTCGACCAGACCAGATGGGCGGGATACAAATCAAATCAAAGATGGACACAAATCTTGATTTGGAGATTCATGCTGGTTTGTACCTGTGGTGCCATGTGTTCCCTTCTCCCACCTCCCTGGCCAATGGCCCCTCACCAGCTGGAGTGCACCGCCACAAACCTCCAAAATGCGGTTCATGCCCATCTCTGCAGAAAAGTAAAGAAAGTTATCAGGAAAAATATTGATTCATTTGAAATATGATGCTGGAGGAATCTGTCCCAGAAAACAGCGGGTGACCATTTTTCCCCCGGTGGCCATTTTGAAACCACCGATCAGCTGTGCGAAAATGGTGGCTTTTCAATGATCAGTTCCCTAAGCAGGGAACCGATCATCGCAAAGCGAAATTCCCCCATAGGGAACATCGCAAAGCGATCGCTGTTGCAATCGCAAAAAGTTTGTAGCTATGCACTTGCTAAGCGAGGCACCACTGTATACTATGTCTACAGCATTCCCTCTGTCTATCAGGGAGGTGACCTGATAAAAAAACTAGATCAAATTAGATTGGCAGGATTTGTTCTTGACAAATCCGTGTTGGCTTCTAGTTATTACTGCATTGGTTTCTAGGTGCTTGGACATTGACCACTTTATGATCTGTTCCAGAATTTTGCCTGGGATCGATGTCAGACTGACTGGCCTGTAGTTCTCAGGTTCCTCTTTTTTGCCCTTTTTGAAGATAGGGACAACATTGGCCCTCCTCCAATCCTCTGGCACCTCCCCTGTTTCCCACTATTTCAAGAAAATAATGGATAGTGGTTCTGAGAGTTCTTCAGCCAGTTCCTTCAGTACTCTCGGATGCAGGTCATCCGGCCCTGGAGAGTCGAACTCATTTAAGGTGGTAAGGTAACCCTTGACTATTTGTTTATCTCCAGCTGCAATCCTGCTCCCTCCCTTGCACTTCCAATTTGTTTAGAAGTTCATAGTCTGTCTTATGGGAAAAGACTGAGCTAAAATAGGAATTGAGCACTTCTGCCTTTTCTTTGTCCTCTATTATCATTTTTCCATCTCGATTGCAGAGCTGTGCCACTATGTCTTTTGTTTGTCTTTTTGCTACCCACATAACCTGAAGAATGTTTTTATTGCTTTTAGTGTCTCTAGCTAACCCCAGCTCATTCTCAGCTTTTGCCCTCCTAATGCCACACCTGCATTTCCTTGCTACTTGTACTCATCCTTGGTGGCCTGGCCTTCTTTCCATCTCCTGTACATGTCTTTTTGGGGGTTTTAGATCTTCCCTGAGCTTTATGTGAAGCCACACTGGCCTTTTTTGGTGCCCCCACATTTTTTTCTTGTTAGAATTGTTTGTAGTTGTGCCTTTAGAATTTCCTTTTCAAGAACTCCCACCCTTCTTGGATTCCTTTTCTTGTTAGGATCTCCTGCATTGGGACCTTACTTATCCTTGTTCTGAGATTATTAAACTGAATTTTTAAAAATCCAGCAGACTTGTGTGGCTACATTCTGCTTTCGTTTCCTTTGAAATAAAGAATTCTAGAAGGATATGATCACTCTCAGCTAGAGTTCCCCTTACGGCTACTTCCCCCACCAAGTCATCTTTGTTGGTCAGAATCAAGTCAAGGATAGCAAATCATTTATTTTCGTTCTCCACTTTTTGCAGGAGAAAATTATCAGCCACACAAGCCAGGATTTTCTTGGAAGGGCCATACTTGGCAGAATTTGCCTCCCAACATATATCTGGATAACTGAAATCTCCCATCATTACTGTGTCATGTCTCTTATAAAACCCTGCAATTTGTTTTTCAAAAGATTCATCTGCTTCCTCTCTTTGATTGGGTGGTCGGTAGTAGACTCCAACTACCAGGTTCCTTATTTCCAATTAAGAAATAAATGCCACCTACGATTCATGTAGAACTGGCACAAGTTGTCCATTATTGGTTGCGACATGAAATAACTGTGCTGCATTCACTTCATAATAAAGATAGTTATGGAGTCTGTGCTTATGGATGGATTCATGTCACATCTGGCAACCTCTTATCACCATTTCTTTTTAAAGGTTTCCAGAGCATATGCTTTCATTCATAAAAATGAATATTATGTTATCCCTCACTACAAGGTGGCTGGCCAAAGGTCAACTTTGGGTTTAAAAACAGTAATCGGAAATGATCACCCACATGTCAAGGCACTTTTTCAAAAGATCTGCCTGTTGATTATTTTATCCTGGGCATTCTGTCATTATTTTTCTTGTGTGTCATTCTTTTTGTCATTATTTTTCTTGTGTGTCATTCATTTTGTCATTATTTTTCTTGTGCATTTTCACCTGGGATATTGACCATACCTTGGTAATGCCCAATCCCCCTACCACACTTCGGGGTGTGACAAGGTAGAGGATTCCTGCTCCTGCGATGGCACCAAGGCACTGGGCTGCAATGTAGAAGATAGATTTGGCAAGGCTGATCTTCTGAGTACAGACCATTGCAACAGTCACGGCAGGGTTAATATGGCCACCACTGATATGTCCAATGCACTGCACCATTGTTGCAATGCTGAGTCCAAAGCAGAGAGAGATCAGGACCATGTCTACAGGGAGAGGCTTTTCTGTTCCACCCCAGTTGATTGTAGATCCGAGGCTGAGGAGGACAAAAATTAGCATTGCCCAAAATTCTGCTGAAACAGCTTTCCAAAAGGGCTGAGTCCAGATGCCTTTAAATGCCACCATGATGGCTTCACACTTACAGAGACGTCCACACTTACTGAAAAGAAAAACAAAGCAATGTCATGAGTTGATCCATAGTCCCGAGCAAAGATTTGCTCTAGATCACTGGTTCTCAACCTTGGCTTACTCAGGAGTTGTGGACTGCAACTCCCAGAAGCCTTCACCACCAACTGTGCTGGCTGGGGTTTCTGGGAGTTGCAGTTCAAAAACATCCGAGTAACAAAGGTTGGGAACCTAGGCTCTAGATGAGTGGTTCCTGACCTTAAGAGTCCCCAGATCATGTTGGACTACCATTCCCAAAATCCCTTGTTATTGGCTGTGGCTTCTGTTGAAGTCCAACAACATCTGGAGACCCAAGGCTAGGAACCAAACCACTGCTCTTAATGATCATGCAGAGAAATTGTAACAACAGTCTAGACCAGAGGTTGTCAACCCCTGGTCCGTGGCCCATTGCCGGTCCATGGCTTGAGCCTGACTGGGCCGCAAAGGCAGACCTCCCACACCCCCGCACGCACTCCCTTCCCCACAGCTGCTTTGCGTGTGCGTGTGTCAGCGGCGTGAGTGCTCCCTCACCCCTTCATGCAAGCTCCCGCATGCACAAAGCAGCTGTGGGGAGGGGAGTGCGTGTGGGAGGGGGGAGGTCTGCCTTTGCGGCCTGGTGGCGACGGGGCTGGGGGAGAGCCAGAAGGTAGGGCAAGGACCATGTGTTTTGGGGGCTCTCCTCCCGGCAGCGGTGATGGCAACAGGGGTGAGGGGGTGGCTGGAGAACTGCTGGGAGGGAACGCAAGACCTCGGTGTTCTGGCGGCTCTCCTCCTGGCAGCGGCAGCGAGAATGGGGGTGAGGGGGTGGCTGGAGAACTGCCAGGAGGGAGAGCAAGGCCCAGGTGTTCTGGCGGCTCTCCTAGCAGTTGTGGGGAGGGGAGTGCATGCGGGCGGGCGGGAGGTCTGCCTTTGTGGCCCGGTGGCGATGGGGGAGAGCTGAAAGGCACGGCAAGGCCCGGGTGTTCGGCAGCCCTCTTCCTGGCAGCGGCGGCAGCAACGGGAGTGAGGGGGTGGCTGGGGGAGAGCCGGAAGGCAGGCCAAGGCCCGGGTGTTCTGGCAGCTCTCCTCCCAGCAGCGGCGGCAAGGGGGGTGGGCAAGAGCCAGATAAAATTAAAATTAAAAAGACTCCCAGGCTTCCGCTGCTGCCGCCACGGGTGGGCAGGTGCTCCTGCGCATGTGCGAAGTGGTGGCACGCGAGCTCCCCAACCACCATGCACATGCATCGGAAAGGTCAAGCGCGAAGGGCCGCCCCACCTCCGTCAGGGACTCCACCAGTCCGGACTAGTAAAAAGGTTGGGGAACTCTGGTCTAGACGGGCCCATATATTTACCCATAACTAGCTAAAAGGCCATTGCTTTTGAAATGGATGAAAGCAGTTGGAAAATTCAATCCTTTCCTCAAACCCTCTCTCCACTGCCACTTACTGCTTGCCTTTCCCTTCTCCACTACTGCTGTTCAACCTTCTGTTCATCGTTGAGGCCACTGTTAATGGAGGAGCAAACAATGACTTTAACATAGTGATTTAGCATAGACCTTTTATTTTCTTAGACCTTAGAAAGAATGACCTAGGACTGAGGCACCAGAGATGAATACATCTTATGCTGAAATTGCATTCAGTAATGAGAGAAGAGAGGAGAAGATTCAGTTCCTGATAGTTGCCTGAGTCTATCCCCGCAGTGCTGCATTTTTCCTCTAAAAGGGGTGCCCAAGAGAACTAGAAGCACAATGAGATAATTCTTCTTTTGCTTCTTTTCCTTTCTTTTAAAGGGGAAGGTTCAGTGAAGGTGGCTTTACAGCCCACAAATCCAAAAGGCAGCGTGGCCTCCTTTCACTCTCCATAGATTAATTTATTTATTTGCATGGATGGATAGAATTAACTACATATTCCCTCACAAGAAGAGAAGAAAGAAGGGCACTGTTCTTCTCATCGTACATTCTCACTGATGTGGTTTATTGCTATCCTGAAGTACCTCACTTTACTTCATCGTACAAGAATGAATGACAGTCACTCTACAGGGTATCCTGCTGTAAACGAGCTTCCACTACAAATACTACATAGGAAGCTTGAATGATTGGTACTTCCACTTTCCCATACCAGTCTCTGCAATGTCCAAAGATGCTCAGAAACATCAGTGGGTCCAAAACGCAGCAGCCAGATGTCTAGTTGAGGCTGGTCACAGGGTTCACATAACCTTGTTGTTAGAGCAGCTCTACTGGCTGCTGATCCAGTACTTTTCCCTGACCTGCACAGCCCTAAACAGCTTGGATCTAAGCTATCTTAAGGACTGTGTCTCCCACTAGAACATGCCCAACTGTTAAGAATGTTAGGAGAGGCCTTTCTTTCAGTCCCATCACCTTCATATGAGTGTTTGGTGGGGACACAGGAGAGGGCCATCTTTGATGCTGCTCTCAGACTCCGGAATTCCCTCCCATGGGACACCAGGCTGGCCCCATCTTTGCTGTCCTTCTGCAAGCAGGCAAATACCTTTCTCTTCAAGCAAGCTTTCCCTTAATTACTGGCTGCCTGAGTGGGGTTCTTAAATAGATTCTTGAGCCTTACTGCTTTGAATGTGTTTTAATGTCGCTTCTGTTTAGCATCTGACCAAAGAAAGATCAGTGGCCTCATTTGAATGCCAGACCTTATCAAACCAAGTGTATGCTTAGAGCTATCCAAGGTCCTGCAAGCTTTTATAGACATCCTTCACGACCTATGGATGTCTGGTCCTAGTTGGACCATGGTAGAACTCTTTTGCTCTATCTGCTTTTCTGATCCTTAACTCCAGGTGTTCAAGTCTTTGAATCCCTTATTTACTACCTAAATTCTATCAAAGTTTTGGCATTACCTGCCTTCATTTTCTACTACTTGATCTACTGGATTCAAGTCATCCTAATCCTGTCAATGATCATCATTTTCTTACATATAGCCCTTTCTATGCCCATCTATTTGCAATCAGCTACTTGAGCTCAACGTTTAGCATAGCAGCATAGAAATTCACACAACAATTACAACAACATCAACCATGCCTGTGTAAGGAAACCAGTTTCAGTCTAAAGATGGACAGTCTTTTCTTGATCTGTGCTCCTTGGACTGACTTCAAGGCAGCTGTAGTTTGCAGTTGAAAAGCTTCATGCTAATAAATGGCTGTTAATGTGCACCCATAAAATGGACACATCTGCAACGTGTACTTTGAATAATGTGCACATTTCAAATGGGCTCACAGTCTCAATCAAGAATGCTTCAGACACTGGCATGAATGTGTTCAAGCCATGTGCACAATCTAAGATATTTGGGATGGTGAAGCAACAAAAGAGGTGAAGTTCATCCTAGTTGAAGAAGAAAAACAAATGGAACTGGACATGATTCAGGTGGGAAAGGAGGACTGCAGACTTGTTTGCATGGACATCCCTAGCTCTAACATAAACACACCCTCAACAAGAAGAAAGTGACCCCCTGAACCTTGCTGTGACTTTACTCATTTAAATGGTAGCCAACAATTAATTGTACTGACTTCAGCCTAATCCACCAACTTGAACAGGACTAAATCTTAAGCCTGGGCAGGAAATGGTTTACTTCTGCCTATTTATGAACATTGGCACCTACTTCACAGTTCCTTTTTATTCAAAGTTTGGGCAGCCATATCCTGTGACTGTTGCATTAAGACATCACCATCCTCCATGGTAGCCATCATTATGCACCTAAGCCACAAACTATCAACTGATGGTGACTGGCTGATACAGTTCACTTACAGTATGTCTATGGATATAGAAGTTAAAATGCAGCCAAGAAGAACAGCCTCAGAATTCACAGTGTGAGTAGGGCAAAGCCTACAGTGATCAACTGAATAGCCCATTACTTCTCTCCTGATTTATGCGACTTCGGAACCAGGGAGATTGGAAATGCTGTTGGAAGGTTGACTTTTGTCCATTGCAATTTATAATCAAACTGCCACAAAAGAATATTATGTGGTTTGTTAGGATGTTGGCAGTCTCAGTCAATGCTGCAGTAGAAGTAATGTCAAGACAAGTCAGAAACTGTTGCAGGTTCAGATGTGGCAGCTAGAAAGCTGCTGAGGGACAAATCTGTATATCATATAATTTTGTGTCCGTACATTGGCTATTGGTTTATTTGTAGGTCCAATTAGAAATGCTGATTTAAACCATTAAAGTACAAATTGGTCCGGGGCCATGTTTCATGAAGGAATGGCTACACCTGTTGATCAGTTTTGGAAGACCTGCTCTGTGGCCCACCATTGACAGCCACCGGGTTGGTATGTATTACACACAGGTCTTTCTCAATGGTGCCCCCTACCCCCATTTTTTAAATTCCTTTCCCAGAAGCATACATACTGCCTCTGCACTGTTAGTTTTGTCACACATTTATTTCTAAAAATTACAAAACTTGAAGAGGGAGGAAGGGGGAGAGAGTGAGAGAAAGAGAGAGCGAGAGAGACTAAGAAACTTTAGCTACTGCTTTGTTGAGTGGTTGGTTTTACAGTAAACTGTAAACACGTTTTCATCTTTTAGGGTCTTGCAAACCATCTTGTGAGGCCTTTACAGTGAAATTTGTTGTTTGTATCTTAAAGCCACTTCTTCATGGCTTACGTCTGCTCCAAAATAATGACGGTATTCTACCTTCAAATTCAGCTGCATTTTAAATAAACAAGGTAATGTAGTTTGGATGAATGAATTAATTAAAAGCAATTGTCAGTCATCATTGTCACCATCATCATGTGGCATCAAACCAATTCTAACTTATGGTGACCATTTTCAAGGTTTTCTTGGTAGTGAATACTCAGAAATGACATACTATACCCAGGAACTGTGCAACTTGCCCAAGGCCACAAAGGCTGGTTCTACTCACAAAAGGCATGGTGGAGAATCAAACTCCCAACCTCTGGCTCCACAACCAGATACCTAAACCACTGAGTGATCCATGTTCATTCCAACTATAGCAACCAAACTTAAACACTGGGGTTTGTCGATCAAGACTTATGTGAGTCCCATTGGCCTTAATGAACTTATTGTGTCTGAGATAAAAAGTGTTCACAGAATTTCGAGTGGGGAGGGGATGTATAAAGATGTACTAACGGTATCATTTTTAGTCCAGTCGTGTCTGACTCTAGGGGGTGGAGGTCATCCCGTTTTCAAGCCGTAGAGCCAGCGCTTGTCCGAAGACAGTTTCCGTTGCCACGTGACCAGCGTGACTAGGGAACGCTGTTTTACCTTCCCACCGAGGTGGTACCTATTTGTCTACTCACATTTGCATGCTTTCGAACTGCTAGGTTGGCGAGGAGCTGGGACAAAGTGACGGGAGCTCACTCCGTTGTGTGGATTCGATCTTACGACTGCTGGTCTTCTGACCTTGCAGCACAGAGGCTTCTGCGGTTTAGCCCACAGCGCCACCACGTCCCAAAATATGTGCTAGTGCACCACTAAAACAGAATGTTTCTGTCTGTGGTAATTAAAATAATAACTAAATTTAAGAATGCGGGGAGAGCAAATACTCTTCCCAACCCACCTATAGACACTCGTGATTGGGACTAACAACTTCTTCATCACCATCACCATCTTAAAATGGCAGATCTGGAAAGGACCCAATGGGTCATTGAGTCTAGCCCCTGCCAAGGAGGCATGGGGGGGGGAGAATCAAACTCCCAACCTCTGGCTCCACAGCCAGATGCCTAAACCATTGAGCTAACTTGATTCAGTTCAGCCCAAATCATTTTTAATATCATTTGTAAGCTACTTTGACAAAAGGGGAGTATAAAGAAATAATAAAAGGAATGAAGGAACTGGACTTCTCAAAGCCCCTCAGTTCCCTTACCTGAATGGAACTCTGCTCTTCCCCATCACTTCTGCGCTGGGCCAGGTGCCCTCCTAGAGACAGGGCACACCCCTCAGGGATACCTGACAACATCGCCTAAGTCTCGGCCCCTTCCAGTTTTTGAGGCAGAGGAAGGAGCGTGCTTTACTGAGTGCCAGTTAGTGATGGCAGAATGGAGAAGGGAGGGAGGCGGGGCAGGAGGGGTGAAAGAGAGCAAGGAAAATATTATCTTTACAGGCACCAGAATGGAATCCCTTTCTCTCTCCCTCCCTCCCTCCTCTGCTATCTTGGGCAAAACGTTCAGGGTTTGGAAAGGTCAGCAAATGCCCAGGGAAAGAGACAGCGCGGAGGTGGGAAAGGTCCACTCTGGAGGTGGCGAAAGAAATCGGAAGAGGAGCTTCTCCGAAAACTTCAGGTACTCACAGCAAATCTGGAGGGAAGGGCTGGGAAAAGTGGCCTTCGTCCGTTCCCTGTGCTCGGCGCTCCGGGCCCCGAGGGGCAGAAGGCACGGTCACCAGCAAAGTGCTGGCGAAGGTATCTTTTAAAGCCCCTTTCCAGATAGGTGAAAAAGACGGGGGATGCCCTTGACCTTTTCGTAGGTACAAATCGGGGTGGTTTAACGTTTCAGCCTCGTACAGTTACAACGGAGCCGGCGAGCGCGCACTCAGAAAGGCGCGCGCGCTTCTACCCAAATAGGGGAGACGCTCAGGTTGGCAGCTCTCGTTTAGGAAACTTCTCTTTCTCTCTCTCTCTTATTCCTTTAAATTTGTGTTGTTTTATAAGAAAGCGACTGTCGGTGGCGAGCATTGATCACTTCAGAGCGCAAAACGGAGTGCTAGAGAAGAGCCCGTCCTGCGCCCCAGGGTCGGTTTAGGACGGTGGCCCGGCGACGCCGACCGACCCGTCAATTGACAGTCGGGGTCCAGTGCGTGCGTGTGTTGCCGATCCAATCGCGCGAGGCGAGCGGGAGGCACAGGAGGCGCGGGAGGGAGCGGCTGCGCTTGCGGATTGCCTGGGAGGAGGCGGCGGGAATGAGGGTCGGGGAATGAGGGTCCGGGTGGGAGCAGCAACCAGATGCCCCGCGAGGGCCGGGTGGGAGTCTACCGCCTACTGTGTCAGGGACAGCGCCGCGTGGAGATGCGTGTATGTGTGTGTGTGGGGGGGCAAGCTGGCAGCCGGAGCACCTTTGCCTCCTCGACACTCCCCGTGGGAAGCCGCGGCGTCCGAAGCCAGTTA